CGACCCCAGGTATGTAAATATTTCCACTGCTTCAAATATATATGCTTTTTCACCCTCTACTTCTATTTTTAGATTTTCTCCTTTTTGTTCACTGTCATCAATCCATTCCATGTATTTTGTCTTACTTTCGTTGATGACTAAGCCTATTTTCTTTGCCTCTCTATCTAGCCTCTTTACTACTTCTTGTAGCTCCCATTTTCTTCGTGCCAGTATTACTACATCGTCAGCAAAGGCTAGACATTGGTGCTTTCTTTGGTATAACAATCCCTCTCTGTTGACATTTGCATCTCGTATGACCTTCTCCAAACACAAGTTGAATAGTATCGATGATAGGGGATCTCCTTGCCTTATTCCTTCACTGACTTCAAATTTTTCCGACATTATATTATTTCTTATATATTCTTATAAGTGTTCTACTGATACCCAATTCTTCTAGTGATTTGCTCATTTGGTTCCGTTTTATTCTATCGTACGCTTGTTTGAAATCAATGAAGAGGACCCTTGTCGGCAGATTGTGTTGGTAACTTTCCGCTTGCAATTCTCTGAGCGTAAATATCTGATCTGTTGTACTTCTACCAGGTCTTAAGCCACATTGGTGCTCGCCGACAATGTTTTCTATCACTCCTGCCAATTTGTCCTTTATACACGCTGCAAGAATTTTGTATGCAGTATTCAATAGTGGTATCCCCCTGTAATTTTGACAATCTGTCCTATCGCCTTTCTTATAAAGTGGGCATATAATTGCATCTGTCCATTCTTGTGGTAGTTGTTCTTTAATCCAAATCTCCTTTATTAATTTGAACATTTGCTCCTCTAGCGTTTTCCCTCCATATTTGAACATCTTTGCAGTTATATTATCACTTCCTGGACTCTTGTTATTTTTTAATTTCTTTATTATTTACTTTATCTCGTTTCTGGTTGGGGGTGTTTATTCTGTCTCATTTGGTTCCTATGTTTCTCCGTTCTTACAGGCTGTGGCTGTTCTATCCTGTTTTCGTCATTTAGCAATTCATCGAAGTATTCTTTCCATCTAGCGGCTATTTCATTTTCTCCACTTATGGCGTTTCCCTCTTTATCTTTGTAAAATATTGTGTTCTGTTGGTATCCTCTTTTTTCATTTTTTACTCCCTGATATAAATTTCTAATTTCTCGATTTTTGTAATTTTCTTCTTTTTCTTTCAGCTGATTTTCCATGTACTTTCTCTTTTTCATTCTCAAAACTTTTTTTACGACTTTTCTTTGTTTTTCATATCTGTTTCTTGTTTCTTCCGTATCACTTTTGATCATATTCATCCTTAGTTTACTTCTTTCTTTAATTTCCTTCTGGCATTCTTCGTCAAACCTTTCCTTTTTCTTTTTAGTTATATTTTTATGAGCGGTGTTACTGATAATCTGCTGAATTTTGTCCTAGTCCTTGTCTATGTGCCCTTCTAGGTGTATTTCATTTAATTTTCTATCGACAACCTTTTCTATACATTTCTTGTTCTTCTTGCGTTACAAGCCGCACTGGTTTATTTGTGTTCTTATTTTTCTTTTGCGATTTTTTCTTCTGGTATCAGTTGAGCCATTTTAATTCCTAACATGAAGTGATCCGAGTCAGCGTCTGGTCCTCTGTATGTTCGCACGTTCTTTATACATTTTCGGTCTTCTCTCTATTAGTACATGGTCAATTTGATTTAATGTTTTTCCATCTGGGGAGCCATGTTGCTTTGTAGATGGTTTTCCTCTCGAAATATGTACTCATTACTAGCATATTTTTTTCTTTGGCAAAATCTATCAGAAACTGCCCGTTCTCATTACTTTCCTCGCGTTTGCTAAATTTTCCTATAGTTGTTCTATATATTTCTTCTTTTCCTATCTTTGCATTTTCGTCTCCCAGTACTACTTTAATGTCATATCGTGGAATACTTTTAAATACCCTATTAACTTCACAGTAGAAATCCTCTTTTACTTCAATATCTTTTTCTTCTGACGGTGAGTGAATGTTAATGAATATGATTTTTTGATATGTTCCTCTTATTCTTAGACAACATAGACGATCAGATACTGGTTTAAACTCAACAATTGATGCTTTTAACGCTTTATTTACCATAAATCCTGTGCCTAATATTCTGTTTCTGACTCCACTATTAAAAAATAAGCTATTTTCAATTTCCAGCATTTCCTGACCCAGTCGCTTTGTTTCTTGCAGTGCCACTACGTCAAATTTAAACTTTTCAATTCCTTTAGTTAAGTGTTTCAGTTTTCCTTCCTCAAAAGTACCCCTTACGTTCCACGTTTCTACCATTAAGTGATCTTTTGGATATGTGTTTCTATTGCCTTTTTTTGTGTTTTTTATCTTTAAATCACCCTTTAAATATCTAATCAGTTTATCAAATATTTTGGTGTTTTTTAAATATGTATTAATATAATGCCAGGCTTTATTAGACTCAATACTATTTTATTATTTTTCTTTATACCTAGAAAAACATGGACATTGGCCTTGTGCAGATTTTGTCGGATAGGGACATTGGCCCTGCAACTGAGCAGTAAAATATTATGATTTACAAGAAAATTCTTTATTTTTTAAAATATAAAATACAAAATAAATTAAAGTAATCCCTATCTTTTAAACTAAACTTTCTAATCTAAACTAAGCATTGAAGTCATTTGATTTTTGAAGATTTTGATAAAATTTCCTAAAAAATCCAACAGATTTTTTACTTGAATGTCGGCTCGAGGAGGTAAATTTTCTGAATAATTAATGGGTAGTAGAACCCCTCCTAAAATCATTTTTTTATAAGCTTCAGCGTCTACAAATCTTTTTTTGTAAAAGTATTGGAACTCATGTTCTTGCGTGTATTTTAACCACTGTATTTGCATCCATGGTACAGCTTCCCCATCATCATTCCTTTTACGATGTACTAATGATCTTTCAACATCAAACATCATGCAGGGCAAAAGTAAGGGCAAAAGAAGTGTGGGAAGAAGAAAAATATCGTGGCTTCGTAATCTACGTGAATGGTTCGGGTGTAGTTCGATTGAACTTTTTAGGCACTAGAAGAAGAAGAATAATCTTTCGTACATTTTTATGAAATTACTCCAATCGTGTGGAACTTTAATTTCAGACGTTGCCTTTTCTTAGCTCCATATGGTTGTGACCAGGTTCCATAAATTTATGATTTTTTTCATCTCACGCATCACTAACAATGTCATTGTAAACACAAAAATGTTTCTGTTTTGGCCATAACAAGAATCACTGTACAAGTATTTCTACTTCTATTGGGAGCGACAAAATGCATTTTCTTATACATGAAACTATTTCTTGCCCACCACGTCCAGCCACTGTCTCGTTCCATGCAAATTCATGCAAATGTGTGAAATTCCCACATTGCCTAATGTAGTAATCTCAAACACTGTTAAGTTGTATGGGGTATGGGATTGGTAGACATTATTCTAAGTCAAAAGTATCAACCAAAAATGATTGGTCTATTTTGCTTCGTTCTTTGGTTATAAGCGCTTTCAGCTAAATCTAAATATTTTTCACTCTTAATAAAAGCTTTCCTTGTTCCAAATCTTCTTCTTTAGATAGTTACTTATTTTTCATACTTCTAAGACTTACATTAAACTGGTCACACTTAGCACAAAAGTCATTTGCTGGATCGTAAAAAGAAAGATTATACTCGTCATTGAATACTTTTTTATACATTGACTCCTTTTCATGGTTTAAAATTATTATTTCTGCAATTATTACAATAAAATCGATGCATTTGTGCCACTGAAAGATCAGGACTTAAAGTTAATAAATCTACCAGTAATTCATGTGCAGGAGTAAGATCAGTGAAATAGTTATCGGAAGTCACATTTCTCCGAGAATTATAATAAGGCTCAACGAGTTGCTTTAGAACTTAAGATGCAAGACCTTTGGCTAGTGTATTTTCGTTTTTTCCTGTATATGGTATTCCACATAAAGAGTAATAAGTTTCCGAGTCACAGGCTCACCATATTTTCATGCTATATTTATTTGGCTTTAAAGGCATATACTGCTTAAAATGCAAATTTTACTACTACTACTAAGTACCTAACTACGTTAGGTTTTTTTTGATAAATAATATTTCTCAAAGTTTTGGTTGACTTGATTCCACACATTGTGTATTGCTACTAATTTGTCGTTCCTTTTTCGTTCAGACCTCGTGTCCTTATCGTCAAATCGAACAAATCTTAGCAAATTATTGAATCGTTTTAACCCCATGGTAGCTTAAAATATAGTAAGTCCATAAAACTTACCCCAAAGTATATCTACTTCATATATGTTGGCACTTAGGTGCCCTGCAGTTAGTAGTAGTTTAATAAAGGCATATAACTCTGTAGAGTTGCAGTATTTCCTGTATCTCCATTACTACTTCGGCTTTTTTATTTGTAGACTTCCCTATTTCGTTCACAATTTTTCGTCCAAAAACAAACAAAAGGAATAAATATGATCAACTACACTTTGACCAGGGGCTAACATTACTTTGTACATTTTTATTATGTCGCAGGATCGCATACGTCCTATCGGTTGTGGTTGACTCTTCCAGTTAATTTCATCCTTAAATTACAGTCTTTGAAATTTAAAAACTTGTAGTTAAATATTATTCTTCATTATTACTCAATACCACTTGCTGATAATCCTCTTCACTTGGTTTGGAAAGATGATCTTTAATTTTAGAGTTACTTTCAATGCCAACTACTTCAGGAAATTCTTCTTCATCGAAATCCCATAAATTATTAGAAATATATTGCAGTTCTGCAGATAATGGTTTTTGGGACATTTTATTCGCACTATCTACTTTCACTGTAATTCACTATAATTTTAGAAGCTTAGTTGTCGACAGCAACATCGATATCAAACGACTGATACCAGATGTATTAGTTAGTCCAAAATATGTGTAGGTACCTACCTAACCATATTATTGAAATTCAAGAATGATTATCAGTTTTTAAAATTCATTTAGAATAGATATAATACCAATTGTAAGCACATCTTCGATGTTCATATCAAAGATAAGTTTACATTGTTTGTTACACGTTTAGACTTTATTATTGGATTTCCTTCTTTTTCCTCTTAAAGTGCCCTCTTCTCAATGGATGTTGGCTACTACAATTTTAAACTCTTCTCTATCTTCAGATGTTCTTATTAGCTGTTCAAAATTTAGCCCTGTCTATTGTCGGATGTTTCTGAGCCATGATAGTCTTTTCCTTCCTAGGCCTCTCTTTCCCTCAATTTTTACTTTCACTATAAGTTGGGCATATTGGTACTTATTATTTCTCAGTATGTGGCCTAGGGATGATGTTTTTCTAACTCTTACTGTGTTAAAAAGTTCTCTTTTCTTGTCTATTCTATGAAGCACTTCTTTGTTTGAGGTATACGATGTCCATGAAATTTTGAGTATTTTCCGGTAGATCCACATTTCAAAGGCCTCCAATTTATTTACGGTTGATGTTTTAAGGGTCCACATTTCAACTGCATATAGAAGAGTCGACCAGACGTAGTATTTTGATAAACATAGTCGAATTTCGAGTTTTATTCGAGAATCACAAAGCAGTTTTTTTTATTTTTTCGAAAGATTTTCTGGCCTGTTCTATTCTCGATCTTATTTCTAGATCAGGATTCAGGCTGCTATCGATCCAACATCCCAGGTACTTAAATCTATTGACCTGTTCTAACATGTGCCCATTTATTGTGCAAGGTTGAGGTACGTTTTGGTTTTTTTGGATTAATATCACTTTGGTTTTTTTAATGTTTATTTTCATACCAAATTGCTTATAGGTCGAGTTGGTCTTGTCGATGAGTCGTTGTAGACCTAAGTCAGAATCCGCAATTAACACTGTATCATCGGCGTATCTGATACTGTTGATATTTACGCCATTCACATTGACTCCATCCTTGGAATCCTCCAATGCTTCTTTAAATAGAAACTCGGAGTAAAGATTAAACAGCTGAGGCGACAGAACACATCCTTGTCAAACTCCCCTCCTAATTTCTACTTCTGCGGATGTGGACCCTTCGATCCTAACTCTGGCGTTTTGGTTCCAGTACAAGTTTTTTAAGAATTTGATGTCTTTTCCATCTAAACCGACTTCTTGCAAACGTTCTAATAGTAGGTCGTGTCTTACTCTATCAAATGCTTTTTCGAAGTCTATAAAGCATATAAATATATCTTTCTGTTGGTCGTAGCATTTTGCGCGAGAACTAGTAAACTGAACAGGGCTTCTCTCGTTCCTGTGCCGGCTCTGAATCCAAACTGATCGTCTCCGATGATTGTTTCGCACTTTCTATAGATACGATTATGTACGATTTTTAGTAGCACTTTTACTGCATGACTCATAGGGCTTATCAGACGGAACTCATTGCAGTGTTGTGGGTTTGTCTTTTTTGGTAGTGGGATGAATATAGACTCCAGCCAATCTTGGTGTATTTTACCTGTATCATAAATGCGATTGAATAAAAGGACAAATATTTCGATATTTTTTTCGCTGATTAATTTTAACGTTTCTGGGTATAATTGGATTTCCGGAATCATAAAAGTGGTTTAGATAATCCACAAAAACATTATCTGACTGTCAGATTAACTTCTGTAGCAAATATTTAGGCTATAAGTATAAATACAAATAGCGTCCGACATGCCCGAGTTGCCCCTTTACGTGACAAAATTTTTCCGATGCAATAATTTTAAAAATGATGATGTATATTTTGAATAGCTCATGACTATGTTGGAGAAAATGTACCACTAAACAAATTCAGTGATGCATACAATTTTATAAAAGACGTAAAAGGTGTATCCAACGTTTTGTAAAAAAACGTTGGATACACCTTGCCCGTGTAAGGGTTAAAGCCTGTAAAACAGTTCTTGTGTCTGTCCTAAAATCATTTGATATATTCCGAATAAACCAGCATGTTTATAGCAATAACAAATCCTTATTGTGTTTTAGTGCGTCGCCATATTGGCTGTCTTAGCTGTAGCTAGCGCTGCACCCGCACCCGGCTGGGGCCACCATGGAGCTGTTATCGCTGTTCCAGCTATTCACGCAGTTCCAGCTGTTCACGCTGCCGTCGTGGCTCCCGTAGGCCATGCTGGAGTCGTCGTTGCCGGACCCTCTCACCATGGCGCTGTTATCTCCCACGGATGGGGACATGGCGGTTGGGGTCATGGATGGGGCCATGGATGGGGACATGGATGGTAATCTATGAAGAAAAATGAAAAATCTTTTTTTTTGTAAATATTTTAGTACTATTTGAGTTTATACAGAACTAACTGTAGGTAGGGAGTGAATATTATGTTTATAGTAATTATTTTTAATACGCGTGCTGTTTTATTAGTTCTTATAATTCACTTAGTACTAGAAATTTTTACGTTTCAATGCTATGTTTGTTAAAAAAAAACTATAAAACCTATTTTTTCATTCTTTTAATTATGTGTTCAATAAAGACTTTTGCAAATAATTGTTTTTAATTCTTATTTACATAATGCCCGAAGATAAGAAGAAATATCATTAACTTAACGGAATGTATTCTAGTGTTTTTTTTAATTATTTTACTGAGAATAAAACATAAAATGAATTTTTTACCTCACTGTCATGATAGTATAAAAAGAAATTAAAAACTTAAGAAAATAAAATAATCAGTAAATATCAAGGTTTCACAAAATGCAGATGAATAATTGAATACATTTCTACGGGGAAACAATTACTATACAGTAGTTATGAGCAAAATGTTAGAATGCATATATTATTCTTTATAGATAAGCAAAAATATTAATTATCGCCGAGACAGAAGATGAGCTTAAAAGATTAACACACATTTTGAATACAACAGCCAAAGAATACAATATGATAATATCAGCAGAAAAAACCAAATGTATGACAACATCTAAATACCCACTAGGATGTAAAATCTGTGGCAGACCAAGTCTGCCACAGTTTTCCTCTGTGACTTTTTTTGGTTCGGGAGGTTTTCCCCTATATTTTCCGAAACATGACCGTTTCACGACATGTGCAAAAATAATATATACTCTTGCCATATTTATTGAATGGCTTGATTTCAGTGAATAATAAAAGAAAATAATATTCTCTGACGCCATAAATGGGACGGTAAGGGTGTCCAACCCCCCCCCCCCCCAAACATGACCGAAAAACAGTCAGTGCAAAAATGATAAATAATCAGGTATTTTTTTCTATATGCCTTGCTTTAACCAGGAAACTAACGGTTCTATTATTGTCTGACACCAAGAGCAAGCCCTTTTTCCAGTCTGACGCGTCAAACGTACCCTTCTCACGCCATCTATAAAATGATTAATATCATTTTTTTTTTTCAAACATATTTCTCTTTTAAATTAAATGTTAAATACATTTCATAACTTGTCTGATACTGAAAACGGGGCACATAGTGTAAAATTTCAAAAAAAAATTTTTTAAATATAATTTTTTAGTAGCACTTCGGCCTAGTGTACGCGTCTAGGTGTTTTTTTAAACATATATTTATTACAACAATCATTGTTTAATTATAAATTAGAAAGTTTTAATAATAAATCAACAATAATAAAATAAATAAATGAATTTTTAAAACACGAAAAAATTATTTTAAAAAATTGAAAAAAATTGTGATGAGTGATGTTATACCTATTGTTTAATAATTTAATTGTGTACTTTTTACACATACTTATTGTAATTTAATTAATTTAATTCCCAAAATATCCCATAATCAGCTGTTCTAGAATTTTTTTGTATTTCGCGCTTCTAAGAGGAGAAATATGTATACGTGTGAGTAAAAATACTGGTTTGACATCCGAACAGCAGATTTGCTTGGCATTCGCAGAATTTAGTCGAATCCCATCTGACATTACTTTAGAACAAACTATTAACGCAGATGCAGCTTCAACATCGGGCGTAAAAGAAATCACAGACTCATTCATTCGGAGAGAAAAATGGGATATCACTCATTCTCTTCGTACAAGTTGCATTTCAAAATTATTGGATTTCGTAAATTTACGTTCACTAGATTGTGTAACTAATGATTTGAAGAAATCTGTAATAATAAAAAACCAAAAAAAATTGTCGCTTTTATACATATAATAAAGCAGTGTACAAACCCATTTTCTACTGACTTATCGAAGAACATTTGTACAAAATTTCTTCTGGAGAATCTGTTTCTAACGACGTTTATAATTTTTTGTCGAACGTAGAAATATAAGGAAATGAACAGCGTTTTGCATTTATTTCAGAAAATTGTACTGATCCAGACAGGTTTGACAATTAAGAGAAACGTAATATTTAACTTTGCATACAAGAACAAAAAAAAAACTAAAAATCAACAATAAAGTAAAAGAAAGTCACCATTCAGCGAGATATTTTTGGACAGACGCTGTAACCGAACGAAGGTGAAATTTTGGCATAAATTGGTAACACTTATTTGACAGTTGCGGTGTTAACACTTTTTGTACTTTATTATTTTGAATTTTAAAGTGAATTGGTACCTCTTGTTTTATATTTTTACCTATTTAATAAAATCTGTTCTTTTCAGATCAAAATTAGTGTGTTTTATTTCAAAAATGTCACGTAAGAATTTAAATAGTCGTTGTAAAGAGATGGTAATACTTTGCAATAATTATGTGATCTATTTGATTTAAAATGGAGTCAGAATTTTTTTATACTTTGACAACTATGTTAACTTCGATATCTGACGTAGATAATGACGTGCATCGGTATGTAAATTAGATGAAATATACACAGCTAAAAAAATGTGCCTTAAGAATAAATATGCAGAAGGATTAAAAATGTTTGAAAAGAAAATTCCCAAAACAATTTTATGCTCGATGAGAATAGAAAACGGACAATGGGAAAAAATAACCAATGGTATAAGTTATATTATGAAGGGAAAAGTTATATTAAGTATTAAAGCGAGGGGACTGAGATGTATATGACGCATAGAGAGATGGAAAAATGGCTTACTGAATTAAGAAGGTCATCAGCTGGAAGATAAAAACTATAAGTATAAGGGGAAAACCTAAAGAGAGATGGTTGAACCATGTCAAGAGAAATATCGAAATTTTGAAAGTGAAAAACTGCAGGAACTAGAACTATGAACTTTTTAAAATGAGTGGAAGAATACTGTATCGAAAGCCTGTCATACAACAAACTTTGACAATACAATGTATTGTCAAAGGCTCTCCATACAGTGTTCTTCCACTCATTTTGAAAAATGCATAGGTCATAAGAAGAATGCGGAGTGATTTGCTGCAATAAATGAATCAAAGAGCTCTAAGTAAGAGCAGCAAATATTCCATCAGGAGTGAAAGCCGTTGATGATTAATTTTACTTATTCCCAAAAAGTGACCTTATAAATAAAATCGTGATATTATAATTTCATATCCCTCGTATAATATTAACAAA